CAATTAGGCGCGATGTTAAAAACAACTCGTAGCACTAGGGGGAACTAGAGTCTCCTGATCAGTCCACCTGAAAGCGCAAAAGCCGTATACTAGCTTCGATAAACTGGAAGAAAAAGAAATTGGAGATTGTCACAAGGACAAGAAAAGTTTTCAAACCTTCTGTAGATATCTTTTCTAGAGTTTTTGTTTAGTAGCTGTAGCACAGCCAAAGAGATGGTCTAACGTACATATATATGACGTACCATATACAACAGGCCTAGGACCGAAACATTCTGGCTGAGAATGCACCAACCTATCAAGTTGTGACAAGCCCATAGTTACTTGTAGTAACTGTGTGGGCGGACCTTAATGACTTCGGTTACAAAATCCCCCTCACTCTTCCTGTCACTTCACTGCATTGAAACGTATATTGACACACAGAAAACACACAATTTCCATGTGTATAATTCTACCTAGAGTTTGGCTACATCGCGTTCCAAAGTCTACCTGGCAGATATGATCAGACATCTTCTTCTTCATCATCGGGTCAGTCACCGAGGGAATACACGGGATCACAGGGATCACAAACTAAGCCTGGGCAAAAGTTATTAGATTGAGATAAGATAATCTGATTGTACTAACAGCCCTGAAACTATTTAGCAAAACGTCCCAATAGATCGCATCGCAAATTGATCCACGCTTTCTAAAGCTCTTAGCTCTGGAGGCTTAGCGAGGAATGTAGTCGTTAAGATTGCCTGGTATTAATGAATGGTAACAGAAGCAGTCCACCGGCATTATAAGCAATCAGTAAATCCCAATAGGTCTTTTCTTTGAGGGGTGAGTGGTAAATTTGTAAGCGACTGAAATCTACTTACGTGGTAGATAGATTTTTCTGGTGTGTCGGTTTAAGTTCCACAAACCGAGTATCACCATCTTACCCGGCTTTTGATGATTTTCAGAATGGCTACGACAATAAAGATTATACCGGTCATATTACGAACAAATTGTCTTAAGATTAACTTCTTGTCATTAAAAAACAATTAATGGTTCCAGCCTTCCAGGGAGTCGTCAACATCATCCCGGACTCATCCCGGACCCATCCATGTGGGTCAAAATGCTGTTAGGCATGATATAATATCGACCCGCCTTTATTCCCCATAGGATAAACATAATTTCCTTTCAACAAAAAGGTTAATCATCATAGCAAGAACCTTGCCCAGAGTTGACTACGGGATTGGCGCTGATTGGTCAGTTTTAATTGAATTATTATTTCTTTATTTCAGGCACTGCGGCCCATGAAAACCATATACATTACCAAGACATCGACGATCTCATACCTTAATGAAACATATAGTTTCTTTTTTTATATTTTTCTAAAGACTGTTTTATTCATTTTGTGAAATTCTAATTAATTTTGTTTCCTACTGGCTCCCATTTGGCAACAGACATGTATGTAGCAGGGAATTGAAGAAATTAGACAACCTTTTCTGGGATCGTTTTGGGACCTTTGACCTAACTCCCTGTCAGTGTCTCTGCGACAGACCGAAAACAAAACCTCCGTGTAGGAGGTAACAATATGGAAGGTAGAAAAGTGATCAGTTCCATCATATCTCTATACACTATGTCATAGCTGACTAGACACACCTAGTTTTTGTGACTTGCGCCGTCGAATGGCCGAATGTTAGGCTAGCGGGCAGGAGATCGAGATGTCGAGGATTCGATGAGAAAGGCACTTAATACGACTTTCCTCACTCCACCCAGGTGTAAAATGGGTTCCTGGAATAGGTTGGAGAGGTAAAAGTCAATAGAAGGGCTCTGCATTCCAATATCGTGCCCTAGACACAACGGATCACCAGCCCAGTGGCCGTACGGCTTCAAAAATGTTTGTGCCTACCTTTACCCTTTTTATCCTTTACCAGACACACCATCATCCCAGTCACGATGTTTGTGATGACGGTACTCCTGCTCTTCGCCACAACCCTCATGCTGCCGGAGGATTCAGACGCTTTACCGCCGAGCGACTTCCTGCGGGCTTTCCTATGCGCACAGAAGAAAATAAAACAGGGCTCATGTTACTCGTAAGAGACATTTTACTATTGTCTATCTTATCTTGCTTTTGGCACCTGCTGTCTGGGACCTTTTTTTATCTCATCGAAATAGTCAGCGCTTTTACTGAAAATCTTCTGGCTGAATTTCAATGCATGTACATGATGCAGGCCTCAGTCTAGATTTCTACAATATTTTTTGTTTGCCAAATGAAAGGGAATATAAAGGAAACGATGCACATTTAAATGTATGGACACACGCTCACATCTAGTTTTAGCACATGGTAGTTTATATCGTAGGCAGAGTCATTAAGAAATGATAGCAGTAAAATCAAGCCCATCTTTCCATGAATACTTTCGTCATCTTGACTTTTCAGTTGTCACAGATTCGGGCTGTGATTTGTTTTTCACTTTTTTACACAAAGACATAATTATGACCATTATTCCGTCAACGTATAATCCACAAACACATTGAAGCCTGCTTGATGTGAGTCCGTTCCAGACAAATTTCTTGCTTGCATGTGCCAGTGTCCCAGCGATTTCACCCCCGGGGGCGCTTTGATCTCGGGGAGGAGGATCATATGAGGGGCGAAATCTCTGCGACACTGCAGCAAGGCAAGGAGCTGAAAAGTTGCAACATGTCCATGCAACATGTTGCAATTCTGTCAAACCTTTACCCCTTCAGGTGGGAATGGGGAAGAGACTACCGATCCATTCCGTTTGCCAAGAGAGGAATGGACCCCAAGCAACTGAAGGCGCTGTGCCTGCTACAGTATGGACCCCGAGTCTGCGACTCACCCCTTCTCAACATCAGATGTGAGGCTAACAACATGCTCATTTCATCCTTCATAGTTACTTCCGGTCCGGGTTATCAAAGTATTTTAATGGATGGCTGAGATGTGGGTTTCTGTATATGTTCGTGGAGACAGAGTAGTTTGACAGCACGTGGGTGGGGGAGACTGACAGGTAGAATGACAGGGGGTCAAACGTTCAGACACAGGAAATGAGATGAGCTTGAAGGTCATGAAACACAAAATACCTCCCGAAATATAAAATCTCTAATTTTTTGTGGTTTATCTATATGGAGCTACCTGCCACTGTGAGTGGGCTGCTTTCAGGGTGTGAGAGATCCTGGATCCTGTGTCTCCGGTCAACAGAAGCCGTTCCTTGAAAGAAGCCCCTGTCACCCATTCAGGACCTCCGACCGAAACTCACCTGGAATCAACCCTATTCTAAATATTTTAATATTCCTATTCTACATCCTCTTCTAATCCATTCCAATATGACTATATTGAGATTAATCTGTCAAAGTTCATAGTCGGCTGGTGCCGTGTGGAATCAATGGTACGGAATCTTGCATTAGGTGACCACATAATATGCACATTGTTCTTTCTGTAACGTTATGCATATAAGCAGCTCCGGCTAAAGTTTTGTATCCACATGTCGTCCGACGTCACGTACACCACTGTTTCTCTGCCACACATTTTCTTGTGTTCAATCTTGCACGGAGACACAGCCCGTTGCCGAGGTTAGCTGATTGAGAATGTCCCACCTGCTTCTTCCTCTTCCTGGACCGGGGTCCGAATCGCCTTTGTCCTAATGAGTTACATTAATGAACCACCTGTGGCCCCTGCGTTCTCCCAACGACCCAATTCTGCCGAACACAATTAGCAATTGAACCAATGGTAGGGTAGCAATAAGCAATCAGCCAATGAGTGAGCGGTTGCATTTCTACGTTTTAACGGGTGTGGGCGGGGCTACGGGATCGGTCAAGGATATATATAATGTCATTGGTTGGTGTCATATCTGCCACTACCTCATCACACTTTTACACACCCCAATTACTCTGGAAATCATACACACCCTACGGAGCATCGAAATGAATTAGTACATGTTCGCTGCAGTAAAGATCTAGAAAATCGATCTTCTTTGGTCTGATAATAAAGTTTGGTGAGATTGTATACAAGTAATTCAGCGTACGAGCTTTCATCATTTATTATCCCAACATTGGTCCAAAATGAGCAATCAAAGATTCAACAGGTGCCATTATTGCCTACCACAGAATCAATACTCACCAAATCAACTCAAAACAGAAGTTTGGAAACTTGATTTCGGTCGATATTATCTCCGTGAATACTTCATCAATTGTATTGTATTATGCATCATTGGAAATATTGTTTATTGCTAAAGATACATAATGGAGCGCAATTGTTTAAGTATTCACGAAGATATGATCGACCGAAATCAAGTTTCTGAACTTTAGTGTGGGGCTTATTTGGCTGAATTGCTGAAATTCCCTAGCCTGGTGTCCAACCTTGTACAAAGACGAAAGAGATTCGTTAACTGTTATTATATAATAATAGGCTTTCATGCCAGGTTAGAAAGTCCCTACGCCAGACCCTGCATTGGATATTTCTTCACTTTTGATTGTGTGGTGACAAATTCGGTATCATTGTAAAGGATCGGATATTATTGTACAGGCTTCCCATCCGTACATTGTTGTACAATTGGTAAACGGAAAAGTGAATTGATCGAATCTATTATATAAAGTTTTTGACCTTTTGCAGCGCATTTCACCATGTGGATCATGAAGGTGTTTCTAGCTAATGAGTAGACCCAGTTGGGTTTTTTAACAAGCCTGGTATGGGCTCTTTCACATACGTATTAATATTATTGCAATCGGAAGTCCTTCTAATGCTTCGGTCCCAATTGAAAAAAGGGGGCCTGCCGGGTAGTCCCCGGGCTGTTTTATGGCACCTTCGGGCGTGACCCCTACGTGGCCCCGCGGGACACCCTGCGGCTACCGGGCTATTTTGAGGCCCGGCGGGGACCCGCTGACAACAAGACGCCGTGACCTCACCCTGAGAATACCGAGAGATACCCCTCCGATTGCCGTCAGTCCACCGGCACACATTTGTTACGTCACATTCCAGAAGAACAGAATAAAGATGTGTACTTCGTAAACCCGGGTAAAATGTGTGACGTTTACATATCAAATGATCACAACAAAAGCGTGAATTCTGCATTACGTATAGGTCAGTACAAGACATCGTCAGAGAATCTGCCGGAGACCGACCAAAGAGGGTGACAAAATTTTTAACAAAATGCTACTGAAGGAAACTTTGAATTGTGACCACGACAGCGGATGCCCGACCGACTCCTGAGCCCGACCGGGACCGGCCGGGGCTAAATTCCCGACGGGCACCGGCGCAATTGGGACCGAAGCATTAGTCGTGCAGGTCTCGTTCACAATTCAGCCGTCTTGGCATCGAAAAAGACTGTCTTTGTCTTTGTTTAGCCTAATTAACGTTATAGATTCTTCGACATCAAAATTGCACGATAACCTGTGATGTATGTGACCGCACGGTTGCTCGGTCTATTTGTCATGCACGATACTGCACAAGTCGTGGCATATCGTAAACTCAGCCGACATCTCGGTAAGTCGGGCAAAGTGGTCCTTATCTACATTTTACAGCCAACAAAATTATGCAAACTGCATCAGTGAGGTCATCAGGCAATTTCCTGAGCAGTGTTTACAACCCACATCAAGTACTATCTTCATTTCCTCTTCAGCTCCGGCTGACATGTTCTTCTCTGTCCACAAGGTTTACATAACCGCGGTTAACAATTGGACTTACCTCACGAGATTTGGAGCATGGATGACTTTTTTGAAAAACGCCCTAAATAGACTTTCAGTAAAAAATATGTAACAATTTCTTTACATCAGACTGTTTGGGTGTTGTAGAACACAGACCTAAAATGGGTGGGGTCGTGGGGTCGTGTGGTGCAGTCGGTAGCGCGTTCGGCTCACACCCCAGAGGTCGTGGGTTCGAACCCTGCCCATGTCACCGATCTTGTGCCCTTGGGAAAGGCACTTTTCACGACTTTCCTCACTTCACTCAGGTGGAAATGAGTACCTAGCTTCGGTTAGGGACGTCCCTCGGATAGGACGTTAAATGGAGGTCCCGTGTTTGGGAGAGCAACACCCCACGCACGTTAAAGAACCCACCGCACTTATCGAAAAGAGTAGGGGATCTTCCCGGTGTGAATGGTTCAAAACCTTACAGTCCGGTCTTACGCAGCTTGTACATGTACGCACATGTACAAAACTGGTGTGTTACGCCTAAAGGCGGTTTACCGGTTATGCGAAACAAACAAACAAACAAAATACCTCTCCATGAATAAGTATCCTCCTGCGAGTTGACCACATGAGTTGAAATGTTAGTCAGGTGTAAGCCGATGTTGATACGTGACTAACTAGAAAGGCCAATATTTGCTTAGGAGCAAATACAGCGATGGCTTCACCACATTTTACGACATGGTAGGGAAAGAATGAGAAACACAAGGGAAAACAATGATTTACATTGATATAACTATAATATGAAGTAACATACAACTAAAACAACAGTTGGATAGCTATTCCCTACATTATTGGTTAGGATTTTTAATTGCATAATGCAAACTGTTGATTTTCAAAATAAATAAAAACGTTCATGCCCCGCACTCCAATGCTGGAGCAAGAAAGCTTGAAATACCTACCAAAACACTTGAATACAGACATACTGTCAGTATGAAAATGCTCTGTGCAGGTGTTAATCAAGTTAAATCCCAACAGCCAATCAGCAAGAAATGCTCTGTGCAGGTGGAAATGCTCTGGGCAAGTGTTAATCAAGTTAAATCCCAACAGCCAATCAGCAAGAAGAATAGAGGAAAGCTGCATGCCTATTGGTTGATGCCCTGCATTCCATTGTGATGACTCATGCCCAAACGTGGTACACAGCAC